AAAGTAGTAAGGTAGGTTGTCCTAAGTAACGTTTGTTTTTTTTTTTTCCTTTACTTTTTTCCTTTGTTTCTCGTTGACTTTTTTTTTTTTTTTAGTCACTTATGTGAACTGAACATTTTTCTTTCCTTTGTTTGTTATTTTCCGTGGACTTTTTTTTCGTTGATATTTGTGTTTTTTTTGTTTTTGTTTTGTGGAGGTGCAGGTTTCTTTTTTTTTTTTTTGATTGCTTACTTTATCCTGTTCTGTGCACGGGAGGCGCATATAATGGGGGACGTCTGTATCTGGCAGTGAAAGAATTATGGATTGATATGTGCAGTGGAGGGGAAAAAAATAGGAAATAGCGGATTACGCGCGTTGCCGGGCAGCAGCCTTGCTTAGTTAAGGTTGTAGGAGTTGCGAGACTTGCTGTTTGACAGAAACGTGTGGAAAGATAGCAGGTGAAAGCGATAGGAAATGAGGGACAGTTCAGCGACAGGAGGATCGTTGGAGTGGTATGTGAAGGTGTTTTTTTACTTTTTTATATAGCTTATTTCAATTTCCCACCCACCCACCCCCACATCCTATTCCTTTTTTTTTTTTGTGCTCTCTGTTGCTGAGGCTCATGTGGTTTACGGTCTCCGCGATGGAGCAAGAGGGAAAAGGGGAAAAGTGAAAAGGCTGTTGAGTTAATGAGACAGTCGTATAATTCTCGGTGGCTCGAAGGTTTAAAGAATTGGAACGAAGAGCGACAGCACCAAGATGAGACTTGACGTAGTGCATTTGCCGCGTGTTGGGTTATTTTTTTTTTTTTTTTTTTTGTGTGTGTGCTTTTGGGTTAGTCAGCAAAGCACGAGGTTGAAGGTTGGGCAAATGGCGAAAGGCAGGTGGAGAGTGTGGCCGGCTCAATGACGACGCTTCTTGGGATGACGTGGGAGGCATCAGGGCCAACGAGAGAGGGTCCAAAAGGCAGCTAATAAACTTTCACTGGGTATTGTTTTCATTGCATCTGGTTGGCGGCGATGCTTCACGTGTGTCCCTGTGTCTTCGCGGTACGTTCGTGGAGGAGAGGAAGGATGTTTGCAGCGAAGGAAATGACGTCATTTTTGAAGTTGTGGGGTTTTTCTCCAGGTATTGCGGAATCGTTTTTGTTTGCTTTATGGCTTGTGCATGTGTGTTTATCCCGTTTGTTTGTTTCGTGTTTGGCGAGGCGCGACTGAGTCCGAACGAGGTGTGGGGTAGGGGAGGTGCGGATGAAGATAAAAGAACGCTGGCCAGCGGTAGACACGCACACATCGTGACACACGTCTTGTGTGAAAGGCGGTTTGGGTCTTTATTTTTTATTGTTTCCTGTATTTGTTAACTTTTCTTCTCTTGTATTCTTTTGTCTTCTTCCTCCTACTATGGGGTGAATTTCACCGCTGGAATTTTACTGGTAGCGCCATAGGGCCGGGGAGAGGGACGTTTATTGTGTGTTTGCTTCTCTTTGCTTGCGTCGTAGTATTAGTGGGGTGAGCTGTAAATGTTGCGCTTGTCGCCCCTTCGACTGGCGAGCAAAGTTACCGCAGGGAATGCAAAAAACCAGGCAGGGCATCCCCGCCGCAAGGCCAAACTGTTTCATGTTATACCCGGCACCCCGGTAACACCCATGGAGAAGTTGAAGGAACAACGACGTCGCTACGGCCAAGATCGTCACTCAAGATTACCGGAGTATCGTCCAGGGCAAAACGTCCGTATGGATCCAAATACCTTCACTTTGTATGCCACGACCAAGGGAGTTATGACAATAAGGGCGAGCAGGATTCATCCTGGGTACAAGTGGCTGGACGTGGAGCCCGACATCCAGAAGGTGTACCGAAGCTTACAAATGCGAAAGGCACTGAGCGTACGAGGCATGGCATCACAGATGGTAGCAAAAAATGCGCACTACAAGTCCGAGATGGATTTGCTCCTTGAGCCCCACTGGCGTGACCGCGTGAGTCGTGTACCTAAAGCAACGGAACGCTTTAAGGACCCAAATTTGTTTGCTCGGGGTGTCATTACGGAGCTTAACCCCATGGATAGGTATTGCTACGAGTGATTGTGGTGTGCCAAGAGAAAAGTGGAGCAAAGCTGTTTTACATCGTTACGCATTTTTTTTTGGCAGCTATGCCCACACAACTAACTGCGCACGCCAAGGAACAGCGAAGGGGGAGTTGCTATTGCATATCGAATTGCTGTTTTCTTTGGAGCACCAGGCGTTGAGATTTTTCTGTATAGCGAGTTGGTTTGCTTGACGTGGTATGATTTTTTTAAGTGGGACTTGTTGTTAAACGTGTCCTGTCCACGATTTTTAGTTGTTGTTTTTTTTTTGTTGCGTCGCACGATACTTGTGCTTTTTCTTTTCTTTCTGCCATTTTTACTGCAGACTAAATATCGGCGATGCATTTTCCCTACAAGTTGCTTGGAAGAGTAAACAAAAGTATTTGGGGAGTTCCTTGGATTCGGTAGAAGCAATAATGATGGACACCGTGGTGTCCACTGACAAGTCGAAGGGATTGCCTGTTTAAGTGATTGTAGCCATTGCCTCAGTTGGCAGGCTTCTAGCAGGAGCCGTCGTCAATATTATTAGCTGTTTGCGCGGGAAGAAGCACTCACGGAGAGACCTTGACAGAACATAATCGGTTCGTAGTCCTGTCTTGCTGGGGAGGTCCCTTTCCAATACTAACGCGAAGCAATTTTTGTTGCTTCCCGATAACAACGCTAGCACGTGCCCCCCAGGTCAAACTTTTAGGGAGGCGTACAACGTCATCATTCTTTTGTTGGTTGCGGTGGAATGCCACAAATTGATGGGCAGCATTGTTTGATGCAAGGGATGAAATTTTTGAGTTCAGGATGCTTTTTTTTTTCCTTCGATGCGAAGCGGGTATAATGTGGTGCGAATATGCTTTTCTCTATGCCACGTTAGTTGTTGGGCACCGCTAATGTTGTAACTCTTTTTTGTAGAAGTAGGGAGAAAAAGCTTTAGCCAACCGCAGGTTCTGATTTGCAGTTGAATTCCTCTCTCCCTCTTTTTTTTCTTACCAAATAAACTCGGGAATTTTTTAATACAACGGAGCGAATATATCTGGACCAGTAAAGGATGCTGAAATGACTCTGCCACTTTCTGTCCGGGTGTGTTTTTGGTACTTGGACCTTGTGGCGAGTACGTACTACTAAACTTTTTCAACTGTTGCCTTTTTGAGCTAAGAGCGGCGTTACTGATTATTTTTTTATTTTTTCTCATATACCCATCGATATATGTCTTGAAGTCCTGTCAGACATAACTTTATGGACGCTGCATGTCACGTCTGTGGTGGAAATGCATTCATGGATGAATTTGAAGTTGACACAGAGGGCGTGAGACTGCATGAAATTTTGTTACTGTCGAAGCGACGGAGCAGCAGGTAAATGGATGGTAAGAGAAATAAATTCAATAAAAAAAAAGGGCTAAAAAACAACAGGAGGAGCAAGAAATATATTATACATACATGTAAGTGAAGAGAACAATCAAAATGTAGTTGCATGTGTGCCTCCCACACCGCTTGTCGTCTCTCTTATTTCTTTTTTTTTACCCCCTTTGTGTTTGTCTGCGCGGTGTGTGTGTTGGGTTGGGCACTGGTAGAAGTGAGCTGTATTTTGTTTATTTCCCCGCCTTAAAAATAAAAAAAAATCTACTCACGCAGTCACTTAATCTCTTGCTTTCCTTTTTGTCCTTGTGCGTGCCTGGAAACGCTTGCTTGTTTCCAATAAGTTGAATTCTTGACCTACCCAAGCGGTCTCCGTCTTCCCGCCCCTGCCTCTTGGCTTTTCTTTCTCCATTTCTCTTTTCACTGCGTGTTGCTCGCGTATGTGCTGGCGTACGTGTTGTTGTTGAAGAACCATTTGCCTAATCAAATTTTGTGTATCTTTGGAGCAGTGGACGTATGTGCACGAAGCGACGCATGTATATGTATTCGTCACCCGCCTTTTTGTTTTTATTACATATATATTGGACTCTTTGGGTTTCTTCGTAGTGGTGGGCCCGACGTACAACACTGGCGGTTATCATACTTTTAACACACCACGGTTGGGGTTATCGTCCTTCGCACCCTTCTTTCTTGGGCGAGAGGACCGTAGGTCGACTATTGTTACGCCCACTGTGGCTGACCTTCTCCGTTTCCCTGAACTCTATTTTTTTTAAATTATATATATATATATATATATATATGTATATATATTGTGTGTGTACTGATGCCGTGCTGATGCTGAGAAGTAGATAAACACCGAACAAACTGCACCAGAGATTGGACCACAGTCGTAACCAACCGCGAGGCATAAGCAATAACAAGAAGAAAAAATAAACATCAAGCGAAAGAAGGAAGCCACCTACGGACATCATGACAGGCGGTGATATTTCATTGGATAAGGCGGCCCCGCAGGCGGAGGGGAGCCAGAATGGGAAGTCGTTAAAGACACTTCAGAAGAAAGGATCTTCGACAAACAAACACACCTACCGGACCAACAGCGCACAGCGGGCAGTGTACGATTACTTGAAGAAGCTGAAGCCGATCCCGGAGCTCGCTGAACCAAAGAGTATTGGAATATATGAAGAGGCGTCTATGGAGACGGTTTTGTACCCACTCATTGAAAAGCACCAAGTGATTATGGTGGCTGGAGCATTTTTTGGTGATGAAGGAAAAGGAAAGACGGTTGATGCCGTCGCCCGCCACCCGGCTTGCACATGTATTGCACGTGTGAATAGCGGTGAAAATGCTGGCCATACAGTGTATGATGATGCGGGACGCAGGTTTGTTTTTAATCTGGCTCCTTCTGGACTATTGTCGGAAAATAAGCGTAACTACGTGGGCCCAGAATGTGTAATGGATCCCATAAGCTTCATGGAGAAGGAAGTAGGCCAACTAATTGAGGCGAATGTTCCGTATAAGGACCGTTTGTTTATTGGAAACGTCAATGTAGTGACACCTTATCATAAGTTGCTTGACGTGCTTGCCTCAGCCCCAAATTCCTCAACGCTGAAAGGAATGGCCCCCGCTCACGCATCCAAAGTGACAAAGCGTGGCATTCGTTTGGATCATATTTTTAATGATCCTGCTGTGCTTAGTGCACGCCTCGCGAAGGACATGGACACGTACTTTGGGTTTCTAAAGGTGAAAGCATTGTCAGACGCGGATGTTGTGCAACGCTGTGAAGAAGAAAACAGTGATGGCGTGATGCGAGTCCCGTCCCACGTGATGGAGTTTGCACGCGCAGAAGACAAGGTGGGGTATCTCGTAAAACTATACATGGATCGTGTGAAAAATAACAAGGAATTCCCACTTAGATGTGACGTGGCACATGAGTTGCGCTCCGCACTGGAGCGTGGCGAGAAGATAATGTTGGAGGGACCACAGTCATACTGGCTAAGTAATGCCCATGAAAAATTTTGGGAGAGTACCACTTCCGCTGATACGACGGCAGCTGGATTGTTGGCCACGGCGCAATTCAATTTTCAGCGCTACAGGTCTGTGGTGATTAATGTGCATAAGGCACCGGCGAGTAGTCGCGTTGGAATTGGGGCCAACCCCAGCAGCTTCATTTCACAGGACTTTTTCTCGGCACAAGGTGTGAAGACGTTGCATGACCTCCCTGAAAACATGTGCGTTGACTTTGACGGTATTCAAAAACTTTTCTTTACAAAGGCGTTTCACCTGGAGAGCAAGGAGTACAATGGTATATGGGAACCATTGGAGTTTGAGGACTCCAGCGGAAAATATAACATTGGCGTCGCCATGGCCATTGCTTCGTCACGTCATCATGAAGAATGCGGCGCGGTGACGAAAAAACCTCGTGTATGCGGCTTATTTGACTGTGTGCTGCACTTTGAGGTGAACGCGGTGCAAGGACCGTACCTTTCTATCTCCGCCCTTGATCGCGGTGACGATTACGAGAAGATTGGCGTCACGATCGCCTACGTTTACTACAACAAGGACAACCATGTGCTGAACCTCAACGGTCGCGAGTACAAAAATGGTGACATCATCAAGGCCGGTGAGGCGGTGCCAAGTGAGGCGGTGCTGTATTATTGCCATCCCATCGTGAAGCTCGTCAATGGGTGGAGGCAGACCCCTATCGCGGCGTCCAAACGTAAAGTCGGCGAGCCGCTGCCGAGAGGCGTCTGCGAATTTATTGCCACAGTGGAGCACTTCACAAAGGCGAAAGTCATCTCCGTTGGCAATGGACCGAGAGGAAGTGACATCATTTATCTTAAGCAGTGAGGTGGAAAAGTAAGGGAGGGGATATGGACACAAACACGCAATTAGTTTAAAGAACAGAAACGAGAGGAATGGAGAGAGACATATATGCATACACGAGAAATAAAGAGCAGCCAAAACGCAGGACAAAAACGAGGTTGAAAAGGCTCCTTGAACCCAGATTTTTTTTTGTGTTTATATGCGCTCGATAAAATGTTTGCTCCGGGTGCTTTGTGGTGGAATTTGATGTAAACTTATATGGACTGGATAAAGATATGCGAATGTGATGGATTGATTGAGATAATCCTTTTGTTTTCCTACCAAATGAGCGGTCATTAGTATCTATTGTATTGTGCGTTGATGCATGCCGCTCTGGCGTGTACGTGTGTTGTAAAATTAGTTATACATCTGCAACTATCTACATGCAAGATCGTTTTCGTTTCGCGTTTTTTTTTGTATGGTGATGTTTAAAAGGGGATAAAATGTCACGTGCACCCAAGGCAATGTTGTGGCTAACGTCTTAGACGATGTAGGGAAGTTTAATTGGTCTTTTGCTGGGGTGGTTGGTGTGGGAAATAGTTGGTTATTGTTCTCAATTTTAGTATTCTTCCTCTTGTTCTGTTCATCTTTTTGTTTTAATTTCCTTTGAGATTTCTGCGAGTCCTTTCGTTTTGTTTTGTTTGGTTCCGACTTACATTGGGGAAAAGAGATAAGATGGAGGAGCACGCACGCAGACAGGCATCAATACAGCAAGAGAGTGGGCGCGAGAAAAAGAGAGAGAAGCACGGAGAGGTAAAGGAAAAAGAGGCCATGGATGTGGTGCAAATGCGGGCGAGCCCATGAAGAGGAAGATCGTGCGCATGCAAATGTTGTGGTTGGGGGAAGATTGATCTTTCTGCATCACGGCGAGGCCTTTTAAGAATAATTTGTGTCTCTTGCACCGCTTGTGTTAGTGTTTTTTTTTCCTCCTTTGGTTTGTTCGCTTCCCCGTTGTCTTTGCGGGATCAACATATGGAGTGACAGAACACCCACGCCTCCCCACCCCCTTCTCGCACACACACACCCCACCCAACTTCAAAAAACACGTATGTGCACACGAGCACGTATGCACACAGAGAGGTATAAATTGGTATTTGTTGCAAAACATACCGGATTTTTTGTTCTATATGTTTAGGGATTTTTTGTTCTATATGTTTAGGGATGCTTTGCTATTTTTCCCTTCACGCACGTGTGCAGAGACTGTGATACCATAACCGATATAGTTTTCTATGCTCACGCCGCGTCTTGCGTATTTCCACAAAAGTCTGACGGTTTATTGCTTCGTCTTTCCTTTCCTTTCATTTCCTATGGGAGTAAACTCCCTCCTGTTGCATGCGTGAGTTTTTTTTTTTTTTCTTTACGGTAGAAGATACTTAGTTGTGTGCACTTATGTAGGCCCAACGGGATGTGCGCTCCTCTTTTTGAAATGCGATGGTGCGAAAAGAAAAAGGGGGGTGTTTGATGACACTTTCCTTACGCTCTTTGGATTCTTTTCTGGCAGTGTATATGTGCGGCTTCTCTCTCTTTTTTTTTTTTTGCTTTTCCTTCTGCTTGCTTTTTTGACTTTGTTGTGTGATTGTTTGGTACGTGTTTTTGTGCGTGTGTGGGTTTTGCCAATACCACAGTTGCGGCGCAGGATACAAGGAAATAGATACAATACTCCCACACTTCGGAGCAAAGGCACAGAAGCGCCGGAAGAAAAAGAGGGACAGTCACTCAGTTTGATAGAGGGTGCAGAGAAAGAAGATGATGGCGGAGGGTCAGGATCAAATTCACGATGATGCTGCAATGAACAGTGACATAATCCAGGATGAGGTCTCTACTCTGTTGCGAGTGAAGTTTGCACAGGAGGCATGGAACCCACGCAAGGTGGACGGCTGGGTGGATGACGTCGTTGATGGTGTCCTAAAAAATCTTGCGGATCTGAAGAAACCATTTAAGTACATCGTTAACTGTGTAGTGATGCAGCGAACCGGCGCTGGTATCTCCACGGGGTTTATTAGTCTTTGGGACAACACTCTCGACGGGGTTGTTCATGTGCCATACGAAAATGAAACGTTACACTGCTTTGTCACTGTCTTCTTTTTGAAACTGGACTAAGCCAGCGGGAGCGGAAGAGCAGCAGCAGCAGCAACGCGGCATAAATCTGAGGCACTTTCATTTGTGGTGGAGTTGCCGCGCTGGTCATTAGAGCACTGAGGGAGAGAGGGAGGGAGAGGGGGAAGTGCACCTGCGGAAGAAAGGGAGGAGCGAGAAATATGACGCTTTGTGTGTCGTGTTTATTTTTGTATTTTGTATGAATCTGGGGTCTTTCCGATTACTCTGTTCTTTCTTTTTCATGTGTCCTCTTCTGCGGGGTGTGTCGTTTCGCATCCCCATCCACGATGTAAATGAAAGAAAAAAAAACATAAAGAAAGAGGGACGAAGAGCAAAAACACGACGGGGGCTGTGGCGGGGGAAAGGGGGGTTGGTCACTGAAACAGGCCTTCGGTGTAGCACCCTTCCTTCCCCGCCTCTTTTTTTCCCCATTCCTCTCAGTTCCCGTGTTTTTTTCTTTTGTTTATCTTTGTGTGTTTACAGCCGATGTAATGAACCTTTTCTCTGCCGCGCCCCTCCCACCGTTGGTGAAAATGTGGGAATAAAGGGTGGCGTGGCGAAGGAAGATGGTGCCAGCCGCACATCTCGCAGCTGCCTACTTTAGTTATATGACTCCCGTATTAGTTTCTCTCATCTTTTTCTTTGCCTTGTTTTATACGGTTTACGGATGCGTGATTCTCACAGTTCCCACGGCGAGAGACGAGGATAGTCTTCTGCATATCCTTTTTGTTGCGTGCTTCACCTCTAATGCTTGGATGTCGCCCCGGATGCATCCCTATTCTCCTGCGGGCGAATAACGCACTGCGAAAATATCGTCGGGCGGGACTAAGACAAAACAGCAGCAGCAGTGGCGTTATTGGTGCCTTTTGGTTGGCCGCTGCTGGCGGTAGGGAACAGAGCTTGGTGGGTGACAAGAGGAACAGCTCGTCTTTGCACGGGGCAGAACCTGACAACCTTTGCACTTTCCGTCATGCGAACTCTCCCGAGACGATGCTTCCATCCATGGGGAGCGCCTCTTATAGCGATGAGGAGGCAACGCATGAGCAACGGTGCACCGTCATGGGAGAGCAGGGTGATGGCGAACAGGACGAGCTACAGTTACTGCGTCAGTCAGCGCACACACTACGCGACGCTACAGAAACAGAAATAAAGGCGGAAATTGAACGTGACTCCCGTGACGGCGTGACTGCCATTCCACCACTGCCACCAGTCGGGTGGAAGGTGCAGCACCCGGTGGGATCGAACTATTTTGTCATGGTACAAACACTAAATGGTGGGGCGAAGTCGGCCGAGCTGCACAAACGGCGCTACCAAAGTGTTCATGATGGTTTCCTTCAGGCAGTGAAGGAAAGTCAACGACAAAATATGTTGCGTGATCCGAAGCGGAAACAACAACAGCAACAACACGAGCCTCAAAGACAGGGGCAAGCACGGCATGATATGGAGGGCACCACCGGCAGCCAATCTTTGCAAGCAAAGAGTTTGCCCAAAAAGATGTTTGTTGATTACAGTGGTCAAAACCAGCGTCGTGCAATGCTACGAGAGATGAATACTTTACACGATGCGGAAAATGTGAGGAGAATGGATGTTCACTTGACCGTGTTTGCTCCGCTTCGCGTATACGATCCTTCTTTACAGGACCCCACCGTGGACATCTGCGAGTGGTCTTCCTTTGACGTACTTGTTCGAAAGACGACAGCAGCGGGCAAACGTGGTTCTAAAGGTGGTGCACAAAGTGCTCTTCACTCTTTGTCACACTTCATCGAGGAAAGTGCGCTCTGTATGTTGGTGAGAGTAGCCAGTGTAAACAGCGAGATGCGAATTCGTTTCATTCAATTTCTTTCACGGCATGAGGCGCAGGCACTGGAGGAGCATGCGTGTTTTGGCCAAGGCGAGCCAGGATTTTTAGAATTGATGCGCCGCCGCCGTCAGGTTCGGGCGACAACACGTCCCTTTCGTTCATTGAGCCGCTACGATGAACCACTAGCGCTGTTTCAAGAAGCGCCTAACGACTACAAGGCATTAGCGAGTAATCCTCTGACTTTCAACTCACAACGGGGCGCGTGCGGTACGGCCTATGAACTCCTGACTGAATGTTTCGACTCTGGCGGAGAGTACAGTCGAACACTGTGCTACAATGGACCGTACCTGAGCGAGTTATCTAAGGAGATGGTGGAGGCATTTCAGGGGTACCTTCAAGGGGACCTTGCTATTTCGGCAGGGCTTTGCGAGTATGTGTGTCAGATGCAGTTTTTCTTGGAACAGGAGGAGTACATGGCGTGGCTGGGGAGGTTGCGTCACGTGGCCACTGTTGCTGCAGAGCGTAACTCCAAATGAGGTGGCGCATCCTATTTATTTTTCCTTTGTAATTCTACCCTTTTTTTTTTTGTGTGTGTGTGTGTTGCAGTTCCTCATTCGCCCGCTCACTCTTGCTTATGCCTCTTTGCGCCTGGTGGAGCAGCGCGTGGGGCGTGACATGGATGGTGTAGGCGATCCAGTATTGTGGAATTCACGAAGAACTGCGTCTTACCTCTGCCCTTCGCATGCATTATTGTTTGCAGTTTTTGCTTCTTCTCGACAGCAGGAGGGTCCTCTCCTTTGCTTCACTGCTTTGGTGGATAGCGGGCTTGTGCGCCTCATCTGTATACTTGCGTCTGTTTTTGCTCTTGTGCGCGTCCCACCACTCACTTTTTGCCACGTAATATAGAGACGTGAGCTCCGCGGCAGTGATAAGAAACATATCAGGGAGGCAAGCGAAAAAAAATTCAATAATAATAGAATGACACATTCAATTTCCCAGAAGGAAGTGGAGGAATTTCGTGAGATGTTCGACCTTGTTGACACGGACCATACTGGCCGCATTACGTCTGGGGAGTTACGCAAGCTGATGGAGACACTGCGTCTCCGCCCCACTGAGGAGGAATTGGAGCAAATGTTTCTAGATACTGACGCAAACGATTCCAACAATGGGATAAACTTTGAGGAGTTTGTTGCCTTGATGTCTAAACGAGTTCAGTCTGACTATACGCCAGAGCAACTGCGAAACGCCTTTAAGCTTTTTGAGACGGAAGACATGCCTTCTGGCTACGTTTCGACGGAGGTACTGGAGCACGCACTTGTGTCGTACGGTACGGAGAAACTGACTCACGACGAGGCGACACGCTTATTAGCGGCAGTCGACCCCGAAGGAACTGGAAGGATCAACTACCTTGAGTTTGTGTCCATGGTGAGCGGCACAGAATCCTAATCGGGCGGAGTGTGGAGAATGTGGCGGGAACGATAACGCACACGAAACAAGTCAAAACAAGAATAAAAAGAAGGGAAAGAAAGGACCATGCGTGCACGTATTTCTGCTGCGGTGGACTGCTGATGAGTAGCTTCATTTTCTTTATATAGGTGGGTGAGTGCGTTTGCTTTTGATTTTTTTTCTTCCTCTGTGTTGCCTCCTCCATACCACTCATGGATGTAAGTGATGGTCTCCTTTCCCCCCTGATTGATGTCTATTGAAGCCCCGAGGTGCAGACCCGACACACACGCTTTGCACAACCTCGTCATTTCTGCTGGTGTGTGAACAAATGTGAGAAAATAACGATAATAAAGAAGTGATGTACACTTCTTTTTTTTTTTTGTGTCCAAACTTCAAGGTGCCTTTAGTTCGTGTGATATTTGATGGCTTCGCCGTTATATAACTTTTTTCTTTGTGGTTCTTTTTGTGGATAGACCAAAGACAAAGGACTTCGTCGTACCGTGACACCGATGAAGAAGCTGGCATACAAGACGGTGCGTGGTGGGGCATGGGGAAAGACATCCTCGCGTATTATTATCTCTCATGGATTTCTTGGAAGCAGCTCGAATTGGGCGACAGTGTCACGTCGTTTGGTGGAACACAAACTTCTACGTTCCAAGCTCCACGAGATTAGCCTGCTTGACATGCGTAATCACGGTGACAGTCCCCATGCTTCACCGCACACAAACGCAGTGCTGGCATCAGATCTTGAGGTGTTTGCTATGCAACAACAGGAGGGTCGTCCGCCCTGTGATGACGGAGGCATAGTGTTGATCGGCCACAGCATGGGGGGCCTGGCGACGATGGCAGCACTACTTCGCCGTGCAAACGAGTTGTCGCTGCTGCTGCCAAGCAGCGAGGAACTTCAGACGCGTCTGGTCCGTGGAGATTATTACGGGTGGAAGGACGAGCAAGGCTTTGCTCAGGAAATGAGTTCTGTTAACGAGTCTATGGGTTTCCCTGCTCATCAACCGCTTGATATGTTTTTTGGTTGTAGTAAGACCACTTCTGCTGTATTGCCACGTTATTCACCTGGACAGCAACAACGGGGTCTGCGTGTCAAGGCTGCTGTTATCGTGGACATCACACCAACGGCCCGTCTTGGATCAACCGCCAAAAATTCGCAGTGCGTAGCCTTAACGCTTGACGCCATTGCAAGGGCAGATTTATCGCGCATCAGTAGCTATGCGGACGGCGACACGGAACTTGAAAGATGTGGTATTAGTGATAAGGCTATGCGATCCTTTGTTTTAACAAACCTGGTTCTGGACCACAAGACGGGCAAGCGGAAATGGCGCTGCAACTTGCCGGTACTTTGTGCCGATTATGGCAGGATGGGGCTTGGCCTGCTTGACTGGTACCTTAATGCCCCTGCTGAGGGAAATAGTTCTGACGATAGAATGGTGGCTCCGACACGCTGCGCACTTCCAACGCTTTTCGTATTTGGAGCGCAGTCGCCGTATAACAGCACGGAAGACCGTCGTTTTATTGATCGGTTCTTCTCGAATGTGACGCAATCGGAGGTGATGGGTGCTGGTCACTTTGTCCACTATGAAAAGATGCAGGAATTTGTTGATACTGTGGCACCCTTTCTTGCGAAGCACCTTTGAACCTGAAGAGGCGCGATGGAGGAGGTGATTGATGATGATGAGGATGGTATATGGGGAAGCGTTCAGCGAGAATTGAAGGAGCGATACCACACGCACAAAATAATAATAATAATAATAAAATAATAAACTCTGTTAGGAAATATGCGTTTTTTTTTGTGCATGTGTGGTCGTACTGGTGGTTGCTTTTTTGAGGTGTTGTTATTATAACTGATGTAAACTGTCGTCTTTTTGTTATGTTGCCCAATCACCCTGCGAAATTCGTTGGAGGAGGAAATAAAGATGTGGTTCCTATCCGTATTTTTTGTGTCTGTTGTCTCTTTCTGTGGTCTGCCTGCTTACAGACCTGTATGCGCATTTTTACTTGAGTACGTTTTATGATTGGATGCATATTACGTACACAGTACTATTTCTTCATTTCATTCTTTCTTTATGTTATTCCGTGCGTGTGATTCATACAACTCACATGCCCGCCAATGAATAATTTTCAAACGTATATACATCATTTAAGCCACAATATACTTGGTGTTCTTCTTGGAAGATGGCAGATAGTGAGTCGGACGTCAGAGCCGTACAGCTCTGTAATAGGCTTGTCGAGCTTTTGTACAGTAGTAGCGCCGTCTTTACCGTCAGCCAAATTGCTCTTATTCTCGGGGTTGATGAGGCGAGGGTTGTGCATGAGCTCAAACGTTCTAATTTCCGAGATATTGTGTACGATAAGGAGGAGGGAACTGTGCAGATGCGGGGTCACCGCCGCACTCCACCCTCAGAAACTACTGTCGGAGGTGGCATGCTTACATCACGCATTATGAGAAGGGACTCGAGCTTCTTTGAGTCTCAGCATGCCAAGTACGGTAGCGACGGGTACAACCGCAGTATGGTAAGTACGAGGGGCGGGGGACGTGTGGTCTCCACAAAGAGTGCTCTTCGCAAGACGAAGTATCGTCGCCCATTTACCGCGGACGCTGTCAGTGTTGATAACATGGAGAACACCTCACCGGTGGGGCGTGTCGGGTACGTGTGCGTTGCCGACGAGTTCAACCTTAGCGGGTTGGAGGCGTACTATCGTGCACAGGGATATTATACCAAGTTTGATTTTGATGTTTTGCATATACGCTTCTCTGACAAGGAAATGGGTTCAAGAATTCCACGTAAAGCTGCTGTCCACGCTACAAGGAGCCAGGCGGCTACTAGTAACCCCACTGCTTCTGGAGGAACATGCGGGACCCGTACTGCGGATAGTAACAACAATGAAAACAACGGCAATAATAATAATAATAATATTAATAATGGAGGTGAAAAGGCGGTTGATCGATCATCGATGCTTGTTGCTAAGAATCCTCGCAAGGCGGGGTTTGATTTATTTGTATTTGAGTACGGTGCAATTGTCTGGTGGGGATTTGAGCAGCGCTACTTTAAAATTGTTGAGAACGATTTTATGCTTCCAAACAGTGCCATTGCAGAGTTTATGGAAAATCGCTACATGACCCAGCTTGTTAGCGAGAACTATCCTGTGTGGTGTACTTACACTCTTGAAAGAAAGGAGACACTGGAGCCGGATGAACACTTCCGGGAGAGGCTGCGTTTTGATCACTTTATCATACCCTTCGGACGTGGAGACATGGATACCGGTAACGTTAGCATGTTGTGCGCGTCACACGCCCTTGCGCAGTCAGCGAAGATTGACTACCTGGAGCTCAAGGTGCAAGAGCTTGCCGAGAACTGCTCCCCGTTACCGCGTGACTTGCGCGAAAAAGGGCAGGTCAGCATTACAGAACGTCGTTTGTTGCAACTTCGTGGTGAGGTGCTTTCCTACCGTCTTATGCTAAAAAGTGGCTCAAACCTCATGGATGAGCCCGATTTCTTTTGGGAAAATGCCTACCTGAAACCCGTGTTTCAGGCGACGAAGGAGTGCTTTGAGATCAGCGAGCGTGTGGAGGCGCTGGATAATAAACTGGACGCTGCAAACGAGATTCTCTCTATCCTGGCTGAGGAGTTCTCCCAGCGTCACGGTGCCCGACTCGAGTGGATCGTTATTTGGCTCGTGTTGGCAGAAGTTGTCATTGGTGTGCTTGAATTGGTGATCAATGTAAAACCATGGTTTTACCGAAGGGTGTAGGATGTGGCATTATGATGATCGAGGACTGAGGAAGATGAAGTAGTAGTCAGTGGAAATGCTTTAATTTTTCATTGTTTGTTTGGTCGCTCCTTGTGGTAGGGTTTTTTTTTCCTCTTAATGCACCTTTTTGCTGTTGCGTCGGCGATGGAAGTGCAAGACCAGCAGATTGGCAAGCTGCGCGGAACTGGGCGAGGTGGTGGTGATGGCTGCGGGGTGGGAGTAAAAGCTAACTTAAAGGGAGGTGGGGCCGGGAGAAGGAGTAGGGCCAGGGTACAAAGGGTCACCCGCATACGCTTTCACAGGTATGCGTGGATGCGTATGTAACCGATAGAAGCGAGGAGGCAGAAGAAGTGGAGAAAATGGTGAATAAAGAGGCGGAGGAAGAAAAGGGTACGGAGGCATTTGTTCAGAGTGCCAAACGGAAGGGGGAAAAAAAACACGGCGTCGAGAAGAGGAAATTCAGCGGCAGGTAAAACAAGGGATGGGGAGAATGACAAACGAAACGGTGAGGAGACTCGTGGAAGTTGCAGGTTTTTCCCCCACACTATTTTCCCTTTTTTTCCTGTTTTATCATCTTTTTTGTGTGTGCCCTTCGAGAAGTAGAACGATAAACAAACATGCGAGGATGTGCGACGTTTATGCTCTCCCTTTTCCCTATCCCATTTGTGTGTTTCAACTGGGGATGCATCGTCGATGTTTTTTGTGCTTTTATGGTTTTGTTGTTCTCTTAGCAGGGAAAAACAGAAATACTTGGAACCTCAAAATTGTGGCAGTTTTGATAGTCAACGTTTTTGCTTGCGTGTGAACGCTTGGCGTGGATGTCGCTACTCATGTAGGGTGGGGCTCTTCCACAGCAAAGCTGCCTGCGATATGCCCTGGCATTCATGCGATCTCATGGCGGGGTGGGTGGTGGGGTGTAAAATACACTTTCTCCGCTGTGTTTATGATTTTGGTTCTTCTGTTGTATTTTTGGTATCCTTTGCTTCTTCACAGCATAGCGGGTATCCCGTGCTGCCGACGGAACGGTAGCGGCAGCAGCAGCTGGTAAAGGGGTGAGTGGCAGGAACTGTGGTAGGCGCAGGATTGAATAAAAAACAAAAATAAAAGTAAGTGACTAAACAAACACCCATACAGGGAGGTGAGGTGGAAGCAACATATCCCCCCCTCCTCCCCCCTTACCTCCACAGCAGCAAGGAGCAAAGAAAAAAAAAATGATTATACCGGTCCGCTGCTTTACCTGCGGCAATGTCCTTGCTGACAAGTACTTGCTGTACCTTGACCTAGTGGCTGAGGGAGTTGCGGAAGAGACAGCGTTGGATGCATTCAACCTGCAGCGCTTTTGCTGCCGCCGCATGTTTCTCACACATGTGGACTTCTCAGATCTACTGCTGAAGTTCAACCCTGCTGACACAAACGTGATGGTTAATGCGCCTGGCCTTCATTAATGAGAGAATTTCCCCCCGTCTCTCACTTGATGGCTCGCTCGCAACAGCTGGCACCTTCTTTGCTTTTGCATTCATTGCAGTGAACCGAGTGCCAAACGAGCGGAAATGGTGAAACAAAAAAACGGCAGTAGCAAAATATCCAGTAATGAGATACTTCTGGAAAAAAAAATATTATTTGTTTTGGTTTTACGTCACTGGGGCATTCGAGAATGAGAATGAGAAAGGTGGCGGATACGCACACATTTATATAAATACCTAAATGTGTGAGCTGCTCTCTGTGTGTAATGTGACTAGGTAAAGGCGGTGCTTCGACGGACCTGGAGTCCCGCATTTCCATTTTTTTTTCCTGTTGTCCTCCTTGGACGCCACGTGAAGTTGCTTTTTTTTTCCTCCTTCTGTCTGTGGGTGCGTGTAAGTCTACGTGCCTATCGGCCTCTTTGTATCGGCGTGATTCTGTCCATTAATCTCTGCGGTTCCCATCTCTTCTGCTATTCTGCTCTATTCTGTGTGCGTTTTTTGTTTTTTTAGCCCGCTGCTAGTGTGTCGCCACGGAAGTGATTGTATAGTTGTGCTGTCTGTATTTGTCTCGCTTGTCTGCCCGAAGCAGGAACAAAAAGGAAAAAAAAACAAGGTGTGGACCGCGTTTACACTTTTTGCCTGGCGATAGCACAAAGAGTTGCTTATACTAAATACGGCGAGAAAGAGAGGGACACACAGGGGGACGCTGCCACCAGATACGCCACCCAGTGTCTCTGTCTTTAGTGTCCATTCCACTTTGGCTTCAGTCGCCTTCATTTTGCCAGAAACGTGAACGGGGGGCATAGGGCGCTTCAATACCGACACGAAGAAGAACCCTGCGATCGCGCCAGGGAAAGGCGAAAGATGTCTGCGACGGCCGCGTCGTTCCCTGTGACACGCGCGCGTGTGGACCTCCAACGCAAGGTGGGTCTTGCAAACGCGGTGGCGCAGGGCCGGTTGCCGTGCCACGTGGGAATCATGAGCGAGAGTGATCTCAACGCCATACGAGGGATTGCGAACGCAGACGAGGGTGCATATGACGCTTACCGGCGACAGGAAGATGCGCGTCGGCGGGAGGCGTCCGCCGCACGCACGGCGTTGTGGCCGGACACTATGCAAGCGAAACAAGAGAAATTTATTCGCCGTCACAAAGAAGCTAAGCTGGACGAGGAGCGTCGTGCGAACCTTCTTCTGGAGATGGAAGCGCAGCTGCAGGCAGAGGAGCGGAAACAGCGGCAGGCTCAATTAGCCTTGAAGTACTTGAAGGAGGACCCACGTGGACGCAATGTGCGTAGTGTGACGATGCTGCACGAGGCGATAAAGGACCGTGAGGCACAGATAGCCTTTAAGAATGAGCTTAAGCGACAGGAAGAAGTAAACGCAAAGGAGGAGCAGGAGCTCCTTCAGCGGGAGCAGAACAGAAACCATGAAAGAGAAGAAAAGGAGAAGTTTGCGCAACGCGCACGCAATGTGGAGGAGAAAAATTCTCACCTGCAGCAGATGCTCTTCCAGATTGCGGAGCGAAAGAAGATGCGAGCGGAGCAGAAGGAGATGCTTGCGGACGTGAATCGGGGAGCAGAGGAGGAGATCCAGGATAATCTGGAGGAGGCAAGGGTGCAGCGAGAAAAGATAGTCGCTGTGCATGAGTACAACCGTAGTATTGCCCAGCCGCCACTCACCAAACACGATAGGCTCCGGCAGCGTATTAAACGTGAGGAGGGGGATGATGCCGCACGCGCTCTTCAGGACGAGAAGGTTGACGCCATGAAGCGAGTTCCGATGGAGCGGCTGAAGAAGAAACAGCAGTGGTTTGATCAGTGTAAGGAGCGAGCTCAGCTTGCCTTTGCGAAGGAGAATGAGGAAATGCAGCACAAGGAGCGCACACAGAGTGTATTTGAACGGTGTGGCACGAATCTGATGGTAAACATGGCTGCTGATGAGGAACGTCGAAAGCAGGAGGCGTTGGAGGAGCGGCACCGTCGCAGGGAAGAGTTCTTGCGTGCGGCGAATGGTGAGGTGGAGGAACTGCCGGAAGGAGTACGACGGGCGGCAACACACTGCGCCGGCTTCATGAATGAAGAAGAGGCACGGGAGTACCAGAAGGAGATGCAAACCCATCCGGCACGTGTCTTGGCAGAGCAAAAAGCAGAGGCAGCGAAGCGGCGCGAGGAAGCAGAACTTCTGCAGCATATTCATCGCTTACAGGCGTCGGAGAAGAAGGAGAATGATCGGCGTGAGGCGGAGGAATTAGTAGAGGCTAGACGACGGCAAAAAGAGGCGATGGAGGAAGACGACGAACTGTATCGCGCGTACGTCAAGTCACAGCTACCATCTGACATGGATCCGTATTTGTACGCAAAGGCCATGAATCTACACACTTAACTTTTGTTGGCGTATGTTATGTGTCGTGGATGAGGCTGGGAAGCAAAGGCAGCCTAATAGAGAGGATGCGGCGGGCGAGGGTGCCACAGGGAATACGCTCACACAATTGTAACACATGAGTGTAGTAGAGAGGGCGAAAAGAACGGGAATAAGGGGGGGATATCGCCGCGTATATTATATATGTAGAGTGCTGTTTTTTTTTGTTACTGACCGAACAAAAAGAAAAGAGGGGGACGGGGGGGGGGTGTTGGGCCGCCGACAGTGCCTCATGAATATTGCGAGGGGTGTTGAGACATCGTGACGAAAGTCGATGCACCTTTTTAGTGTTTCCGCAGACGATTCTTCAAAATCTCGAGACTTACCACACCACTCCCATTCAGAGATGTATTTTTAGATATATATATATATTTTTTGTTGGATTTCTTCGTCTTGTGGCTTTTCATTCGTCTTCTTCTTGCTTGTTGGCATCTTGTGCAAGGTCTTTTGACTAGTGTCTGAGCGTGTTGTGTATTTTTTTACTTTTCCTTTCCCAATTGCATGTGTATGTGCGTGCGTTTAACGGTATTTGCAGAATCTGTGTGGAAGGTGATGGCATTGATGCAACACACATGCAGCAGTGTACTGTCTGACTGAACGAGCGATGGAGAAAGAAAAGGAAGGAGACGTGCAGACACACGGAAGGTAACAGCATACAAGAGTTGCCCCACTGGCGTTAACGGGGACACGTTGTTCTGGGTATTCATTATCTGTGACTGGGGGATCCACTATTGATGTAAAACTTACTCACTTTTTGCTTGCCACTCTTCTTTTTTGTATTTTTTGTTTGTTTTGCACGTGCCCCACAAGAAGGCAAAGACATTGCACTCACACACTCACACACAGGGGGAAAAAAAGGAGATTGTGCGTGCCTGTCTGTGTGCTCTGCGCGAACCACTATCTTTACGGCAGCAGCAGCAAAACTGGCGAGATTAGAAGGAGTGACGAGCGAGTCAGCATCTGCACGAAATCTTTTTTTTTTTCTTCTTATCGTATTTGATTGAGATACTCACTGCGGACGCACAGGCACACTTTCTGTTTCAAACGACACACAAGTGATTTGTCCCGTGTGGTGGTTATCCATTTGGGGGTGGATTAACACTTGTCTTTAGGCGACGAATTTATTTTTTATCGAACTTCAGTGCAGGAGCATACGTGTCTCTCACTCTAGTAGGACTTTGACTGGTGGGGCACGCGGAGGTGGCGGCGTCTCTCACAATTGTGTGTGCGCATACACTTGTTGACATCATCGTCAACACGAAGAAACCCCTCATAGTAAGGTAAGGTGAGAAGAAAGCAGCAACAGACAAAAAATAAATAAAAGTATACAAAGAAAAAAAAACAGAAGGATACACAGAGGGAGAGAAGCCAAATCGTGGGGAGGCTTAAGGAACGAGGGGCTGTTGAGAAGGAAGGGCTGAGAGGAAGTGTGAGCGAGCGGAGGAATTCCAACCACCCACACACACGCAAAAGGAAAATAAGAAGAGGGGGAGATCTAGGCGAAAGGAGGGAAGGGGATGATTGTGGGCACAGAAAGCTCATTTGCAGCACGGTGCGGTGTTGTTTTGCGCTTATCTCTTTGCTTCATCCTTGTTTTTGCCTTGGACGCAACCTGCGTCGATGCACATATCATCGGTGCTGTGTCTTGGCAATATGGTAATGATGGTTTGGGCGGAAGGACTTTATTTACACCGTATTTGTCTGATAATGGGAAGGTCCTGGGCTTTCTAGAGATTGGCATGGGCACGGATGTGCTAATACTACGAAACGTCAATGGAACCATTGCGGCAGAGACCACGGATAGCGCAGTGCAGGAGTGCGGAGAGTCCACAGGTGTTTCCTTGTTCAATGGGGGGCCAAAAATTTTCATATTCTGTGGAGGCAGAAACTTGTTTTTAATAGTGATCTTGGGTGGGAGAATTGAGCCTCTTTATGTGATAAGGATTCAAACTGAGTCCAGTTTTTACTCACCTTCGTCATCTTCTCCAACCCCATTGGTGCTTGTTCGCGGCACAATGTCGGACTCACGGACGGATGCCGTGCTGGCGGTGTCCAGCAAGGATGATATGAGCTGCATTGGTCAATACACACCCGAGAATAATTTTGTTCTGTGCGATGCCGACCCCATTCTGGACTTCTACTTCCCAACATGGGTACCCAGTACAAGGGCAAGACCGAATCCCGACAGATATTTAATTATTGAAAGGAAGTCACAGTCAGGCCTAAGGCTGGACAGTTACTACCTGCCACATTTTGCATCTGGCAGCACACCCAACGTGACGGCTACTTTGGATTTTGTTGATAAATCCAAAGTATTACACTCTAATCTGAATGATGACAGCACCGCCAAGCCTCTTATCGCATACGTGCAGGGAACCATGACACAGACATTGAAATTAGCCGTCGTTGTCTTTAACGCCCTTACGTTGGAGAGGACAGCATTTGGATCTATCGAAACTGGTGTCTCCTGCAAGGAACCTTGTATTTTGACTCAAGCTTACATGGTACAATGCAACAAGAAAAATTCCTTGATAGTGCAAACATCGTCGTTGTTGCTAAATTTGGATTACAATACCTTGAAGGGGGAAGGTACCCCATTGTGGATAGTGAGCGTTTCAACGCCCGCGGGTCTGCTTTTCATGCCTTTGCGGGACTTGAACGATAGGAATACAGAGTGGCATCGTCGAATGTTGTCACCATCTTATACGGATTATAATCCATATCATTATATTAAAGCGACAGAAGTTCAGTTCATTGTGTCCGCGGAAAATATTACCGTATTAAGTGTTTCAACTGGAAAGACAACCTTAAGCTTCAATCCGCTGTGGAAGGGATCTGCATTCTGCAACAGTAATGATCGTATGGCTGCCTTCACAGTTTTTGATGGCTTCCTGGCTTACTTGGGATGCGAGGGCAGTGGGCACTACAGCTTGGTTGATCCTTCCTCTCACAAGGCATACTACCCAATTGCATGGCCTTCCATGAGCACATTTGGGATTACACCATTTGGATATAGTGTTGATCAACATTCTGTAGTACTATCCAATGGAACTAGGGTTGTAGGTCTTGATTTGAATCCGTTGTTGCTTTATAGTGAATCTGTTTTGATACAACAAGAAGCTCTCTCGGCTGGCGCGTATGATCGTGGTCGATTTTCCCTGGTGGCAGCTAACGCCTCATCGCCTAAAGAGATGCTCTTTTATTTTTACGTCTATGATAATACTGGTACTGCTGGGGGACGCGATCCTTTTCCCCCTACCGCCGAACCAGTATCTCTTTCGACTAATACGACTCTTTTTGAACCTTTTACCGTATTTTTTGGTGATAGAAAGCGTTACATTGCCGTCTCAGCCACTCCAGGAGTCCTTTCCATCTTTGCAGCACGTGATGGTACACATGTGACTAACTTGAACCTCACTGCTTGTGCTCCAGAGGAACGGAATCAGGAGGCTGGTGCAATAACGTTTATGAAAACTGTACAACATCTTGGCAGTCAAGATAATTATTATGTTGTGTTTGGTGGGACGGAGACGTGTCTGTTCGAGGTAAATGATACTCTGGTGCTTCGAATTAACAGTTTTCAGGGAGCTCAAAAAGGTATTTTGTTTGGAACAACAACCTACAGTGGGTATAAATTTGACCCTAAACCCAGAAAATTGGAGGCCTTTACAAGCTTTTTTGACACCGCATCCGTGCCAGTGTATCAGGAAGATGGTATTGATGCTTATGTTGTGGGACCAAATGTATTTGTGTATGTGAAGGCAGAGATGATCACCTGCCGAAGCGTTCGAAGCAATATCAAAATCTGGTCACAGGCACTTCCTGAGCAGTTTCAAGCACCGGTTGTGCATATGGCCTACTACAACAACACCGTGTTTGTGGTAGACGAGCGTACCTTTTTTCGTTTTGACGTTCAGTATCATGAAGATAGCTATACTGCTTCACGGGTGCTTCTACAAGTGCCTGTGGCTGATGTTGAGGCCACTTTGTTTGCAGCTGCAGTTAATGAAGGTACTGTTGTTCTCTATTCACATTTAAAACTTTTTGCATATGATGCCGCAACCGGGGTATCCCTCTGGGAAACCAAGCTGCAGACAATGCCGGTGCCTGGCAACGCCAAAGTAGAAGTTGTTATTTACTCACCAGAAGATGCAGGTGGCAGTAAAGGTGAAGCTACTGGCCCTGCATACGTTGAGGTACGCGTAACTGTTGAACCGCTGGAAAATGAATTGCGGCTAACCATGGTGGATATATACTCGCTAAATGACGGAGCTTTGTTAAAAAGTATCTCTAATGCGCTCAATGATATCAGTGGTCCTGTCATTTGGGGTAACAAGTACAACACTTTTTCAACGCTAAGCAATGGGTTGGTGAGCTTTCGTGCTTTTGACCTTCCCAAAGTGAATATTCCAGAACAAGCCAGACGCTCTGCAGATTCGGCTACGGATGTGTATGTACCAGGAGAGTCACCAATTGTGCCACCGCCACCGCCTTTACCGCGTGGCGATAATTTTATGGCGACTGCTCCTCCAATGACATTCTCCGTAAGTGGTGATGCCGCGTTGATTTCAGCTGATTGCAAACGAGGAGTTGTAGGAAAACTTGAACACATGAACGCCACGTATGAGTACAACGTGCGATGCTTCAATGTGAATGATCCACAGGGGACGCCAATACGTGCGTGGGCATTTCAGTCAACGTTGTCTCCGCCCCACATCACATTCATGGAATTTAACGAAAATAACTTTGCCATTTTTTCACATAGCCGAGTGCAGTTTTACTCGTGGTCAACTTGTGAGGAAGTTGGGGAATCCATTATGTTAAGTGGTGTTCTGGATGGCGTACCATCTTATGTAAGTCTTGGAGATCAAAACAAATGGATCTTTCTTAATGGCTTTCAAGTAGTTGCCTTGGACCTCTCTACAGGGAGGGAAAAATGGCAGACAGGTGTCAAGAGCTGTCTTTCAATTCGACATCAAGGGGGCTATATTATCTGTGATGGTGGTTCAAATTTTGCGGTGCTACACGCCGATTCAGGTACAATTTTGATTAAAGATGCTTTAGAAGGCGGTATCACAACCGCAGGAAAGAACTTTGCCGGTGTGGTGCGTGGCTCACGTGGATATGAGGCTGTGTACTACTCAGGGCCGGAAAAATTGTTTGATTTTCCGATTTCTTTTCCAGTGACTGCTGGTAGGATGTTAGGGGCAATTCCCGGAGCCTCTGACAATAATGTTGTTGTGTTATTTGACAGGATGGCGACCTCTATAACGTTTGATTCCGCTGCGAAGACGGCGTCACTAGTGTGGGTCAGTGACCTACACGGTGAACATGCACGACCTAGCGCGGCTGTTTACACTGGGGCTGAGAAGGCTAATATTGTTATTGGGACTAAAAATGGTCTGGTGATGCTTGACACTAAAACAGGAAAGGGGTTGGTGAATATTTCTTTACCGATACGCTACATGGAAGACACTAATGAGGTGCAAATGCTAAAAATGGTGATGGTGAAAGAGGGCACACTCTATGGCTTTTCATGGAATGGTTATGCGGTTTTGATTCGCATAGGCCCAAATATGGCGGATGCATTCTTTGCCTTTGGGCTTGGCCTCAAGCGTACGTCACAGATTTCATTCTTAAAGAAATTGTTGGTAGTCAGCGGAGGAGGCTCAGCTGGGTTCTTGCCTGTGGAGAAGACATATTGGGGAGCACCTCTGCTGGCCACAGGCATGGCTTCCGTTGGCTCGAAGGTTTTTATGGCGGGCTGGGATTGGACAAATGATACGTCTGTAAATGTCGTTGCCGTTACCACTGAGGGAGAGAGGTCAACTCTTTCAATACCCAAAGAAACTTCCATTCAGTCCTCATCCATGAATAATGCTGTTGTCTTTTTTGGTGAGAACACTATTATTTCTATTGATGACTTGAACAGAACCAATATAAACTTTCCTATTCCCCAAGTCTGCAACGGAACGAAACTAAAGAAAGTTTCACGCGGTGATTCCGCAAATGGTGCCTCTCTGGTGTGGTACTCTGGCAAAGCCCGTGATTGTATCTTTGTTTTGGGCACAGAAGGCACACCACCCACTTTCTTGTCAGGTATTGTCACGAAATTCAATGATGTGGTAAATGTTCGCTACGGCACCAGTTTTGGCGTGCTCACCTCAACCCAAATTTTGGTGTTTATCCACGATGGAACCTTTATTGGAGCCGTTGACTTGAAGAACCCATTTTACATGTCGTCGGTGTCTTCTAGCGACAGCGGCGATGGAATCTTTGTGGTAATATCGGGTGAAAATGTTGTCACGTGCTTTCAGGTAAGTGGCTTACTAAGTGTCTGGAACTATACACTACCCTCAGCGTCAAGAGCCCCAATCACTTACTACAATGGAGGCATTTTTATTTCTACCGAGAAAGGACCTTTATTCTTGACTCTGGCAGAGCTTTCCTATCCGTGTCCTGATCGAGCCCTTTTTAATGTCACGCGTCTTCCCGTGGAGGGTCGATCTACGCTGCACACAAAGGTGGTGGTGGATGAGGAATACGCTATTGCATTTGTCACCACCTATCAGACGTTTTATGCTTTTGATGCATTGACTGGGGAATTTATTTGGCAGCGACCAGACCTATTTGCAGTGAAGGACGTTGCTGTGATTCAGGAGGGCATGGTGGTGTTTGTTAGCACCGAAAGAGGTGGTGTGTTTCTAAATCCGTTCACAGGGGCTTCGTTATTGTATGTTCCCAGTGCTGGATTGTGGAGCGGTGAGATTTATCTTTCTCCTGATAAAACAGTTATGGGCTTTGGTGGTGTGATGGCAACCGCAATTGAGATAAGCAAGTATGCACACTTCTTCAGTGGGGTGAGTGCAAACCGTCCTAGGCGTCCAGCACCAGTAGCATACAGACCGTACAACTATGGTCCTGATGACCGTCCGAATGATTGCTCCAAACCAGACGCAGGAGGGATGCCTATCAACACGGGTTTGTCTTCGGTCTGGGTCTCTGCATCACGCTACGGACTAAAAAAGGCCACACAAAGTGTTCTTTCCATGACACCTGGACAAAGGAGTGGTTGGGTTGCCTCCTTGAGCGAGCACACGGTATACATTGCGCGTGCCTTGGACGGTACTTTTGAGGAGGTCACACGTTTTACTTTGAATGAAACTGGATGTGGCGTCTTAAACCTGTATGCCATCAATTCAGAGAGTGCCTATGTAAGTGTTAAGTGTGCCACACAGATATATTTCTATAACACTTCAGGAGCACAAGTAGGGATGGGGGGGCGTGCGGCGAAGAACAGCATTTCCGTTGTTGTAAAAGGCAATGGATATTTTGTGAATAGCGACAATGTGATTGACGCCGTGAGTTTGACGAGCTTCCAACCACTGCCTACGTCTCCTGGTAAGGCCAAGTGTACGACGAAGTTCGACCTTCTTGCCGCTCCTCGACTGGAGCGTCTCCTCTTGGTTTGCCCCGGTGTGGGTATTCAAATCTTGGATTGCACAACGCTGACACAAATTGGTAGTACAATTACCGCTGGAAGTGCTCGAAAAAGTTTTACAACGTATGAAGTGGATGAAAATCTTGGTATGGCCGTCGCTTGTGGTCAAGATGCCTCTGATGTGTACATGGTGGCATTTATGTTGAAGACGGCAGAAAAGGTTGTAGTGCATAATGAGGTAGTCAAGGGCACCCCTTTTTGTGGTGTTAGGTATCCTGCATACCCAAGCAACGCTGATCCGGTGATTGTTTTCGCCTATCTGAATGGCTACAAGACCTGGGCCGTAAAAGGTGGGCAGCTCAAGCTGTCGGAGGTGATTACCAATGCGTATCCTGCAGCCATTACAAGTCATGGAGTGATTTATCACAACACGGGTTACGATTACTATTTCCGTGTTTACGGAGGTTCTAGTAGTTCTTTTTTGATCCGTGGAGGGTCAAAGCCAACGGGAAGTATGGTTATAAAAGGAGCGGATGGTTTTCAAGTTACCCCGTTGGCCATCATCTATGGAAATGGATTCACTTTTGCCGTTGATACCTCTGTAGGAAGGCCCACAGCTTGTTGGGATGATAATGGCATGATTGAGCTTAAACCTGCAACACGTTTCATTTCCTTCCCTCCGTTTGTTTACACGACAGTCAATAACATGTTTGTGGGGTTTATGGTTGCCAATGGTTCGTTTGGTGTTCAAGGATATTTTCGGATGGCTACGGCCCTGGTAGATAACGAACAGCGTGTGTTTCTGTCTCAATTAAAAACAATCGGTTGTATGAGCATGGATGGCCGAGTGTTATGGAATGTTGGGATTTCGAATACGGATACTCAATATATCGCATTCAGTCCCGTTGTGCTGAGTAATTCCGACTTTGCTCTCGTGTCTGGTGGGGTGCGTGCAGCGGCAGTAATCAACAAACGAACTGGGGAAGTTGCGAGGGCAATTATATTTGAGAGGTGCAAAGTTTCTCCAGACTCTCCTGATGCTCAGGTGATTGTTAATGGAACTCTTGTGTACATTGGAATGCGTGGATGGTCATGTGTGCATATTGTTGACCTCAATCTGCAAAATACGAGTGGCAATATTACAGGGTCGGAGGTAAAAATATTGGAGGTGGAAGGAGCCTTAACTGGGCTCGTTGAAGGATATCCGCTTTTGGCTAGGGTGGGGTATGCGAATCACTTGGTTCTCGCGATGGGATCCACTGATGATGACAGTGAAAAAATAAATATTGCTGTGTACCGCGTCGATGACGTTTCCTCTTCTTCGTGGACGCGGCTTTGGATGAAGCCTGTGCGACTTGACTTGGGTTCTGTCTCCACCTATGGTTACTTTTTGTACACTGCTTCGGCTGGAGTACTGAACGTGTACGATTTATTGACGGGAAGATATGTTTGGGGGTATATTTTTAAAACCAGCATTACAGGACCAGTTTTGGGTGCAGATCGCACTTTGTATGTGACCACGCAGGGTGGTCTTCAGTCGCTCCGTTCTCCGCTGAGCATGCCCTGGTCCATGCGTCTCATGGGTAACGTTACCTTTCCACAGCGCATGGCCAATTTGCCAATTACCACCGTTGGATTGTTACGTACGGCATATGGGCATATTCTCTGCTCTAACGCTGGTGGTACAGTTGCCTATACACATGCACGTGAAGGCCCCGCATCCAAATTGGCTTGGTATACAGAAAAGTCTATCGCTCGCTTTGGTGAGTCAGCTTTGAACGCTACTGCAGTGATTGGTTTGTTTGACGCAGATGGTGGCACAGGGGTTTTGGATCTGACGTCTGGTAAGATGCTGTGGTTGAGCGGTGTCTACCCGTCTGACGGCGTCACCAATGGTGTCGCATCATCTGGAGCCAAATTCTTTGTCTGCTCATTTGCCATGAATGATCCGACGTGTCGAAGAGTTCCCGTGTCCTTTATAGCTCCTCGCAACGCTTTGCCATTGTACCGCTATGAGTCGGAGCCAACTGAAACGACACCGCCCCATTGGATACCTATTTATCCTGAGGGTGGTGGTTCCAGACCGCTACATCCATCACCGCGCTGCGTATCCATGATGCACGCCTACATTCCTTCGTTTGCCGACTGTGTTAACAAGGCCATAGCAACCATTTACACGAGCGGTAGAAGAACGAAATTAGAATGCCCTGATTCCCTCCTGTTAATTTATGCTTGCCAACCACTCTTGCAGGAGTTGGTGGACGCTTGCCCTGATGTTGCTGCAAGTATAATGGAAAATTGGAAACAAAAAACATTGGACAAGACCTCCCCCTTGGGTCTGTGCGAACCCACAGAGGCAGAGGTGCGCTGTGACACGACAAATAAGTCAAAATTATCTGATACCTGCAACATGGTGGGCATGACGTTTATAGTCAACGGCTACGAAAACCCAATTGGCTACACACTTGGCTACATACTGCCTGCATTTCCCTTCCCTGGAAAACCGAAAAATGTGAACGTTGCCGCTGTTGTCTTCGGGGTGATAGCGGCCCTTGTCGTCGTTGCTATTGGGGCGGCAGTGAGCATGCACTTCTATCGGAAAAAGAAGAAGGTGCGGGACGCACGCTTCTTTGATGACGACGTGAATGCCTCCCTGCTCGGCAGCGATATGAATGATCAGCCAATGAAGATCATCTCCAAGTCAAACTATGCGTTCAGCTCAAAGGAAGATTCAATTGACGTTGATGGTGCGTCGCCACACGCGGATCAACCAAAACAACCTCCACCTCAGTCATTTCCACCGCCACACAGCGGCGGCGTCTCTGCGCTGCAACGAGCTGCGGCAGGGGGGACTCCCGAGCGTGCGGCACCAGCATTAGCCGCCGGACCTAAAAAGATGCCTTTCAAAATGCCGGGTAAAGTGCCCCCGGCGAAGGGACCTGGCCCTAAACTGCCGCCGCCATCTGCAGTGGCAAAAAAAATGGTGAATGAGAGCCCATTCATTGACGATGACTTGTAGTAACATATTGCCCACTATTATTATTTTATTTGTTTTAGATTTGACAGATATGTATATATAATATACATGTGCATGTGTTTCTTTGTGTGATAGTGTTATTCCTCAGTTGTTTTTCGTCGATGATGACCTATTTCTTATTTATTTAGTTGTTGTTGTTTTCTATTTTTTATGTATTTATTTGTTACTTAACTTTGAGCGCTTTAGAATTCTTTTTTTTT